CTACCCGGTAACCCGGTACCAGCAACTCTCATCGTCCACCACAGGAGCTGTCTGTCCCAGTACACCGGGGTATCCCCCTACTACTCTCGAATGATGTACTGGGTTTTTTACAATGCACACGAGCCATTGTATACACTGGGCCTACGGTTTATAGTCCTTATCCGAGAAGGCTTGTTTTACCACCAGAACCATAGCCGCGCGTGCCGTTTGATTGAACCAGCGCAGAATGATATTATGGCTGTAGCTTGCGGTGCTCCTGCTAACCACTCGGCCATTACGCGCGCCTATGTGAAGTACATGATATATATTAATATAGGCCTATGTGAATATCATATTTTATAAGGTATATACTTATTGATTGAATACTTGGTAATTGGTCAAGTGTAACTTTGCTTTTCTCAATTTAGATGCAGTATATCTCAACATATGAAGCATTACAGATACGATTTAGCAGAACTGTACAACAGATGTTTAGCCGCTGCTCGCCACACCATCATAGTGATACAGTCATGTGACCACACTCCGGAAATATGATTGGATAATCGCACATGGCGATTTTTTGGTGGCAGCATTAACTATTGAAACCAGGGAACAGTGAAATTCCCTGTTGAAACAATATTTGACTTGCGATAAAAGTGGGGTTCTCAGATAGCAAATGGCAAAGTTTCTGAAAATGGTGATTGATAATGGATTGATAGATTTTGTCTCGATTAATTTTAGTGCATGGTCGACAAAATAAATTAATTTGTTCGACAATGACACAGAAACTCAATTAATGTACTGAGAGAATCATGTTAATATTTGTTGGTTTGAAGATCCATGTAGAATAGATTCGATATCCTCATTTTTGTTTGAGAGATCTCTTCCTTACTTTTTTTTCGAGTCTCTATCACATCACTATTATTCTATTTTTAGCATTTAAGACCGTGTGCTACCTAATGCTTATAAAATCCACTTCTTGCTCCACTAATTAAAATTCTATTTTTAGATCAATCAATCAATCAAACATTTATATTGCGCCAATTCCAAAAAATGATCAAAGGCGCATTGTACCCTGAAGTTTGGTTTACAAATAAGTCCTAAGGTTTATTTTAAAAGAATCAAGAGTGGAAGTGTCTTTAACGAATATGGGAGTTCGTTCCAAAGAGAAGATGCAGCACAAGAAAAAGTACGACCACCGTAAGTCATTACGGAAACAAGGAACAGGTAGCAATGATTTGTCAGAAGAACGAAGGCGGCGAGATGGAACATATCGAGGAAAATAGTTGAATGATATAAGATAGACGAAAAATTAATAAAGCCTACTATGTTGAACGTACGCGACACTTGAAGTATTTCATTATGACATTTGCTTTATGTACTTCGAAAAAATGAAAATAAACAATTGTGCAGTTGCGCTCAAAGCGTTTAGAGATGCGGTGCCTAATTGATTGTACATATTCAACGAGCTTTTGTTTCGTATAATGATAGTATAATCGAGTAACTCTATTACACAACCATTTTTCACAAAATTAGTAATCCTAACCAATAAATCATGTATGTCATATAAATTATTTGGTACTGGAATACTGTAAGTGCTGCTCGAGGAGCTTTTCACACAGCTGAAAATATTTTTTTCGTTGAGAAGGGATATATTTGATACGAGTATAAAATATAACATTATACGATAGGCCTACATATTAGTGTTTTACATAGAAACACTATTAGTTTATAGGCCTCGCTTGGTGTTGTGACCTATTAAAACAAAGGAAATATTAAGTTTTAAAAGCATAGGCCTACAGTGTTTTAGAGAGTTGTAATTGATTTAAATATATTTTATCTTCCAATCTACATTATAAATTCAAAATTAGTATTGATATAATTCTAAATAATTACACCGTAGTCGATTTTATTATAGGCCTACCTCTATTCAAATATCATTCAATGGCGATCATAATTACGTTATCTATTTTATACTACGGGTTTCGCCAAGGTATTTAATCTTCATATGCAGCCACTATCAAGTATATTATATCTATTTTTGCATTCTCAGTGTTTGGACCTAATGCCAAACATAAAGTATACAACAAATCGAGTTCACTACATATCAAAGTGCCACTATTTAAAGTATAAATACCAATTGCGCTGTTGACATAACAATATGTGTTTGTTAGCACCGATAGTGGGAATTTCCAAAATTGACCAGATACCGGTAGTCTATATGTTTTAGATTGACGTATGTATGATTTCGACAGCCCCACACAACTCACATTTATTTACTGGTAGAAAATTTATATTTTGGGTTATTGATTATAAGGAAAATTGTGAATAACATTATTCACTCCTTTCTGGAATGAGGGTAGCATTTTGAAAAAGGCAAATCCACCCACGTAGAAATTTTTATGTTAATATATCTCTACAATGGGCACCAAGGTATATAATTTGTCTATACCACCGTCACGATCAAATCTATTGGTCTACTATATTGGTGTATATCTCAGTGATCGAACTTTTATAATACCAGACATGATACAAAGTGGATGGTGAATTAACTATGTCAAAATACCACCCTTCAATGCCGTAGCCAAGATTTTCAAACAGTGCGGGACAATATCGGGGTGGACTCACTTTACGAGTAAATTCAAATAATGTGGACCATTTTCTTAAAGGTTGACCCATTTTATGCAAAAATATGAAAAATCTGGACCCATTTTCATAAATTTTTAACCATTTTAGGCTAAATATGAGAAATCTGGACCCATTATCATAAAGTGGACTCATTTTATGCATAAAATTGCATAATTTAGACCCATTTTTAAAATTTGGACCCATTCACTGTTCATAACAATTCATACAATGTACGTCATCGTCGTCGTGCAATCGAAAGCTTCCTAATATCGATTGTGGGATTTTCCAAAATGTATAACATATTACTCATTAATTTTGTTTTGAGAGCCCATTCCTAATATTGTTTGAAAATTTAAAAACTCGATAACAGAATCTATTTATATTAATTAATTAAAGTGTACTTATCAATTCGCTAATATTATAACAGTGTAGTTTTGGAAATTCCAGACACACATTAAATATTAACTAAGCATACCTATTTAGTATTAAAGTCAATATAAATGAGACGTGCATAGTCAGATAGAGGCAGTGCGCTTATTGGTGCGGTGGAAGAACGAACTCAAATTATATAGAGAACTAAATTGTGTTAGCTGATTCACATCCGAGTATAACGAAAATATATATACTTCAACCCAAGCAATGTAAGTTTATATTATTTATCATCATAAATTAATGACATATTGCCTCTACGCCGAGCTGTCTTCTAACGTCTCCACCTGAGCTGCTTTGGTGAGTCTGCGGGTGAGATCTTTCCAATGTCTCTTATACACATCTAGATGTGTATAAGAGACAGATATGTATGTATGTATATTAGCACTGAAGGTATATATCAATAATCTATCAAAAGTAGAAAGAGTGCTCGAAGAAAGAAACAATGTTGTAAAGGTCGCATAGGCCAATAGGGCATAGCCTATCAACTTTCAGTGTGTTTCAGTATTAGCTAATAAATTGTATTATTATTTGATAATATATACAGGCCTACACATATAAAAGATAAGATATAATATATGTAGTTTTTCTAAAGTCAAAGGTATTTTGCATGAGTATTGTTATGCAGTAGGCCTATAGCAGTTTTATATATATACCGGTATATATATATAATTACGCATATTAGTTACATATACTATATATATAATTATATATATATATATATATATAGTTCTACCAATAATATTAAAGAAATCAAATAATGGTGATTATTAATTTTATTATATTATTATAATGATGATAATAGTGTTGATGATATGAAATAATAAGTACCTGTAGAATTATAAATTAAAAATTTCAACTGTCTTCATGATAGCAGTCAAGTAACATTTTTTTTTATAGAAATACCGAAAGATGTCAAAAAATCACGGCTCATCATTTGCTGGGATGGTCAACCAGAACTTGGCACAGTCCAATCCGAATTCTACTATCCGTTCAGAAGTTGCAATGAATAAAGGAAAGGCAGATTTCGTAGTGGACACGCCTGGCAGACCCAGAGAGATTGTGGAAGCCAAGTCTTCGGGGAAGATCACAATGGGACACGTGGATCAAGCTGCTGGATATGCGTGTGGGCAGGGGAGTAAAACCACACTTGCCGTAGGAAGAGACGCAAACGTGTCTGAAGCTGTTTCTGATCACGCAAGCAAGAGGAACGTGAATATAAAACACATGGATTTCAATTAATTATAATCATTTGCAGCATATGCGTATGGACACATTTTACACTAGCAACAATAGGCCTATATAGGCTAATTATACTAGAAGAACAGAATATTGAGAATAAAAGCAAGGATTCGACCAATTTATGTAGTTATATTTTAAATATTCTCCGAAATCAGAAACAAAATAATGCCTCATTGTGGTTCAGACGACAATTCACAGGGCTGAAATCATTGTAGTAATACTTTCAAGATAGTGATTTTAACAATTAATTGAATTGAATCGTTTTTTAATTGTATTTCATTTTCGGTTAATCATGATTGTCCCTTTCCATTGTATCTGTTTTTAATTTATGAGTTTGATGTCTGGTAAATAATATAAACTTACTGATATCAGTGTTGTGACGATTTCGTCCCCAGCTAAGCATAGTAAATTCCGAAGTACGCATGCAGAATTCACTATCATCCCGTTATGTAGAGGGGAATTTTATTAAGGACCGAAGTTCCTTTACAAAATGTTTCAGTGATTATAGTAAATGATTGAATTATATCGTTGTAGAATTGTATTCTATCTTAGATTAAAAGCGAGCATAAATTTGCTATGTGTTATCGTCTTTTTAAAATACTGTAATTAACGCTAATGCCAGCATCAGCAAGTCAAGAACGACATCATGGGCACTACTACTACTAGACCTACTGCGCTGCTGCTACTACTATTGTTTATTGAGGTGGGGGAAATTCATAGATCAGTGGCGGATCTAAGAGTTAGCAATGGGG